GCAACAAGTACAATCTGTTTATGTTATTTCTGTTTATCTTATTTAGATGTTATCCAACTCCTGTTACAAACAGCCATACTGTAGCCATATATAAACCACACTGTTCCTTCATTATGATAACAATGGGCACTATATATGTATTATTAATATGTGCATCTAACTGTACCTTATTTAGTTAATGAACACACCACTTATAATGTAGACAGTAGAATTTGCATTATTTATTTAAATTACATCTAAAGCTTTTTCTTCAGACAGTCAAGTGCTAACATTTTGCTGTGACAGAGGAAAAAATTGATGCTGGCATATGAAACCATACTGAAGATACGCTGACAGATTTTCACTCTACAACCTCTGCGGTGAGTCACTGCTGAGGTTGTAGACAGAGGCAGAGACAGAGGATGTACAGTTTGAGAATGTACCAGCGTATCTTCAGCATATCAACATGTTAGCGCTTTACTGTCTGAAGAAAAAGCTTTAGATGTCATTTAAATAAATAATGCAAATCCTACTGTCTACATTATAAGTGGTATGTTCATTAGCTAGTAAGGTACAGTTAGATGCACATATTAAAAGCAATATTCTTAAAGAAATGTGTTGATTAAATTACTAGTTGGTCTCACACACACACACACACACACACACACACACACACNCACACACACACACACACACACACACACACACACACACACACACACACACACACACACACACACAATCACACACTGTCCAGCTGCTGCTGAAAATAGTCCTTAAAAAATTCATAGTTTATTCCTGAAACTACATTCACCAGTTTTTTAAATGACTTTCTTTCTTGTTGGTAAATAAAACTTTGAATTTGTGATTTATTTTAATTAAAGATTCCAGTAGAGAATCATCCTTTAAAAGCAGTATGGCAGCATTCATTCATCCCTGCAAACTCAGTTCACCAAATATTCATACACATGTATAAACATAGAGGAAAGTCAAACAATAATCTGTGTCATCAGCAGGCTGATCATTCTCTTTTCTCGTTGTTCAAATGAAAACCTCATAACCTCACTCCCTCTGCACACGTGCCTTCATATATTTACATACAGCCGTGTGACGCAGCGTCTTCTTTTACCTTCCAAAACGTATGGTCATAGGTCCGGCTATGAGAGCGCCTGCCAGGCCTCCCAGTGAGAAGATGGAGACAATGATTGTCCAGACCAGCGTCACCTCGTAGTCCTCCAGCTGCAGGTCCCAGCGCTGCAGCACCGTCTCATTGATAAAGGTTTGAATATACTTCAGAAGAAACGTGAACAAGTTACCATTTAAGTCAAACTGAGTTAATCAATGACGTGCACACACATGCATGTGAACAGAGCAGAGTTAAGGCTGACACTTATTACCTCTGAGACCTCTGATCCTGTGCTTCAGTCTGTTTTCATTTCACTGATTTCTGCCTTTTGGGGAGTTTTATTTATTGATGTATTTCTTTTGACAGACAGCAGCAAGATGCTAAATCCCTCAGGGCCAATCTGCAGCCTCAACAAATCAATTCCCATGTTCACATCAGAATAAGATGCTTGTGACTATTGTCTGTGGCTGGTGGAGTTTTGTGTTTTTGATTTATCAGTGCGGCCGCTGTTGTTATAGTTAAACACTGATGCAAGCTCTGCATCCAGCGACACTAAAACTGGATGTGTCAGAATGCCAATCCTTAATCATTGACCCAAGAGGCCTAATTCTTCTTTGTGCCAAATTTCACTGTGAACCAAATGTGAAATAAGACTGAAGCTGGTCCACACAGTTCTTTTTTAATGGGCCAGCCTTAATGTACGCTCAGTTTATTAGGTACACCAGGTTTTCACTTAGTATAAACAATAAAAATCAACCAATCAATACCTAATAGACTGTCACCTGAGTTTAAAAACCAGACGCTGTAACACTTGACACCTAGGAGCCTCATCATCTCGTCCAATAAATGCAGTTAATAACAAATGTGCTGCCACACACTAAAACATCATTTACAGTATATATATTAGATAACTCTATTGTCCCTGTGGGAAATTTGGACATGCATTAAAAAATGCATTAAAAAAAACGAAGACTCACAGTTGTAGGTGCGTTCATTATGGCGAGGTTGTAGCCATACTGAAGAGTTCCTCCAGTGCCTGCAGCAACGACCATGAGCACCAGTGTCAGAGTACTGCCCTGGAGACACAAGCACACAGACAGACATGAACTTTTCATTACATTATATTCATTAACATTTCGTCAGGTACTTGTGACTCAGATAAAATGTCTTATGCTGTAAATCTGTAAAATCAAAACAGCAGCACAACCTGCAGCTGGAGAGGCAACGTCACAATCGCACATGTAATACAATACAAAACTACTAAAAGTTTTTAAACTCAGAGATGACCTGGTACTTTGTTGTTGGGCACATGTGTTGTGCAGCATTATAATAGTTTTCTATGATAGTTTTGCTTTTCAGTTTTCTCATGATACCAATGCAGAGTCATGTATGAAATAAAATGACATCAAAAATATTAAATGAAACTTATTGCAGCTACACAGCACAACATTCATACTGTCTGCAACAGTTCTCTGCTACAAATCAAACTCTATTCAAAACAAACATTATTCGCATCACGTTACTGTTAAAAGTCTGATTCTCACGTTTACCTGCTGTGGGTGTGACATTGTTAATCGAAGGTGGTGAATGAGGTGAAACTTGATGAATTCCACCAGCAGCAGACCCTCAGCTCAGCTCAGCTCAGTCCACCTCCTTAAGATCTCCAACAGCACAAGCTCGAGCACTCGCCTGCAGCGTGCGTATGGCACCGTTAGCTCTCCTCTGATTGGCTGCGTTTGGGCAACCGGTTCGATTACGCACAAAGTGTCGAACGCAGACCTGGAGTCTAACCAGGACTCTTCTGCAGCCAGCCACCACAATGATTCACCGAGGAGAGTGAGATAAGATCTAATGCCACATACATGTGAAGTTGTCAGTCAGTCATTAAGATCAACACATGGGCCTTTACGCAGGCAGGTTGGAGAGGTTGTTCCATCAGACACAGTGACGTACACACAACAGGGTTTTTACTTCATGAATAAATAGATGAATGAAGGTAAAGTCACACGCCGAGAGACCGCGTGCACTACATACATTATGCTCCCGTGACAATAGTAGTGTTCCATCTCTGGACAGAGGTGGAGGTTTAAAGTACAGTCTGGACTTCCATCTACAGTGAGTGGGTCCACAGACACAACAGTGTGTAGTATAAACACATTCAAATGTGATGAGAGATATTCAGGTAACACATGTGTCTCTTTCCATACCAACATAGATAGATAGATAGATAGATAGATAGATAGATGATGTACAGACACCACTGCCATATTAACCTGTTGACCTCTAGTAAGCATCACGTACACAATATATGCACCAAGCATGTACCCCTTTGCTGGAGTATATATATCAGCCCAAGGTTGTTATGCATTATAAAATGACATGTAATTATTATGAATTTTATCATAATTTTAATTTTGCAAAAAGAAATGCAATGAACCGGAAGCTGTTATTATTATTAATCCAGCCATGCATCTATTTAAGGTCAACACTGTAATATTATTATTATCATTATAAGATGTATTGTTAGTAGTAGAAGTAGTAGTTGTAGTAGTAGTGGTAATATATATTAAATAAATATTTTTTTGATTGATTTGCTGTCCAGCAGGTGGTGCTGGATCGACATGTGGCAGACTGCTTTGTACAATATAGGAAACTATTATCTGATTCCTAGTAACTGAGTGAGAGACAGATCAAATCAGAACATCTGTGGGTAAGAAAATATGTAGTTAGTAAAGAGGGCAAATTAATATAGTTGGTTTATAGTTAGGTGACATAATCATTAAGGGATCAATTAGTTTAGTCACATTTTCAGATGACTGTGAAATAACTACAGTCACATCCCCTCTCATACGTTTTTATTTTTACAGAATATAACACAGTTACTTATGCAACCGTGAAAAGTTTCAATCAAGTAAATTCCTGTGTTTAATCTCAGTCTTTCTCAACAGATGATATTTTCCTCTTTAGAAGCAGAGGAGCTGATGAGAGAGACACATGATGTATTATTGGGATGAAAATAATGATTATTTTATCATAGAGGAAACTACAAGTCAGTTTGGGAACAGTTTGATTTGATCTCACTGCCATTCCCCTGCTAAGTTTGGCAGCTTCTCTGAATCTGATAGAAACAGCAGCACTAAAGACAAACTCAGAAAATCACAAAAAACTTTACAGCTTGTCCGTTGAAGCTCATAAATATCCTCAACGCAATTCATGGGAATTTGGCTAATTTGGCTCATGAGATCTTATTGTGGATTAAACAGTTCGACAGATGAATGAACAGATCTATTTTCTCTCCTGTTGATTTAGAACCCAGAGAAAAAAAATCTGTTAACTTACTTAATGATTCTATTTATATCTTAAAGCTGAAAATCAGATGAGTAAAAAAGCTCAAATGGTTTATGTGTTTAGTTTTGTCATTAATGCAGCATCTTTCCTTTTAGTACTTCCTTTTTTAAAAAATGATTTTGTTTTATAAGCCTTAATGTGCACTATTCAATGATACAATCAATCAAATCAAGTAATCTGAATCCCAAGTTTCCACAATTGTAGAGTTTTATGTCCTCCGCAACATAAAATTCAAATTCTAACTTATATAAATGCAAAATGGGGATACAGTCTCCATTACAGGGGCTCTAATGTACTGTAGATCACATTAAAGATGTCATTTGAATTTAAATCGTGACTTTACATAATATAAGAGTGTCACATGATGTCCTGTAAAGGAGATTACAGAGCAGGAGCAACGCTTTTAAAATCAAACCACTTAATAAAACCTGACACAACAATTAAAACAAATCTGTCACATTGAGGTCGTAATGAAACGAGGCCCCGCCCCCGCCTCTGATTGGCCGGCCTCTGATTGGCCGGCCTCTGACAGGATTACACGAGTTTCCTCAATTGAAACACAGTGAAGTCAAACGCTCCTTCATCCTCCTCCTCCTCCTCCTGCCGCAGAGAAAACGAGCTCAGTCACTTTTCTCCACTTGACTCAGTTGATCACATGTTGATGTGTGACAGCAGTGCACTGATTTGCTGTGTGATTGATCACATGTGTCTTCCCCTGATGCTGCTGTGTGTCCTGGAGTCTGCATCAACACTAATGACCAGTTTCCTCTCACACACCCGCGACTCTCCCGTCAGCTTTCTCTAGTTTCAGGCTGGGAATCGTCAGGATGACGAGGATTTTCTGGGATACAATTTTACTCATAAGCGGTGAGTGGATGATTTAAACAAGATTTCACCTGAGTCTGCATCATGATCCTGACTTTTAAGTTGAATACATTTAAAAATGGATGAATAAAGTGATCGGAGTTTTAATAATGATAATAATATTAATTCACAACAATGACAATTTAAATATTTTCTTTGTGCTGTTCATTTGCTGGTTGTGTTGAGCTTTTTGTGGTTTAATTATGATGACACCTAGTAAATTACTCAATGCAGCCTTTTTAAATGTATTTATTTTTTATTATTTGATGAAGAGATCTTCTATGTGTTTATGGTGAGAAATCAAAAAGTGAAATTTTCCATATTTCCTTTGTTTTCAACCTTTTCCCAACAAGCTTCTCCTCCTTTGACCCTTGTCTGTGTTTTTCAGTCCCTGGCTGTGATCACATGTCTTCACAGGACCTGCTGTATTTATAGTGCTTGGGTTTCATCCTTTTAGTGGATGCTTGACCCTGTTACTATTGTTGGGCAGCAGTTACTCAATGAAGCATCGATATCACATTGAAGAGTGGGTCACATGATCACAGCACAGGGGCAGATATGTGGGACTCCCCCTCAGGTTGTTCACCACAGACGGATATGTGACACCTGCTGGGACAGTAACATGTATATTTTTTATATTCTTATAGGTACTTTTAGTATGTCTGTGGTTCTCGATGGTGAGTTTACAGTGAAACCTTGAGTGTTTTCACTACATTCCTGCAGGGATTTGTCCTTATTCCTATCAGCACCTTCTTCCAACAGATGTTTAATTCTTCCACTGCAGGTTCTCTCTTTACATTTGGAGCCGGACCGAGCAACACAACAATCGAAGCTCGCGTTGCCATCGACACATACTCCATCACTGCTCCAAACACCTCTACAAGCAGCTCTGCAGCGACCAGCAGCATCAGCACCACGACAATCGCAACCACAGCTGACATCCAAACAGTTAATGGTGAATACAGTCATAGTGTAAAGATGGAGACGATGGCTCGGGATCATTGTCCAGTCAAATGTCCTCTGTCAATCTGTCCACTGTCTGTGTAGCAGTGCTTCCACAGCAGGAGTTCCGTGGTACCTCCCCCCGACGAGGTTTTGTTTTCACCAGCGTTTGTTTGTCTGTTAGCAGGATTATGCAAAAACTACTGAACAGATTATCATGAAACCTGGTGGAAGGATGTGGTATGGGTCAGGGAAGAACCCATTACATCTTGGTTTGGATCAGAGTTTCTAGATTCTCGTTTGATTATCCTATCCTATTGTTATTCCTGTAATCCCACAGTTCAGCCTGTGTGATGTGTTAACAGATGTTTATTTTCCTCTGTGCAGATTCCCTCCTTATGTTTGGAGCAGGGCAGAACAATCAGTCAGCAGAAACATTCATCGATGCCGGAATTCCCATTGAAACAAACTTTTCTTTGGCTCCGAACACATCAACAACCAGCAGCACGAGTACCTCCACCACAACTGCTGCAACGACTACGACGACTAGCGTCCCTCCAGTTAAAAGTAAGTAAGATGCAGGAAACAGCTCAAGGTCATTGTCAAACCATGTTGAGAATAAAAGTCAGAGTATTTCACTTCCTCCCTGCCGCCTTTTCATCCACTCTCACTGCAGCGTTGCTCTCATAGCAGGAGTTCTCCACATTGTAAAGCTCCCTGATGAACACTATACAGACAGTGTGGCGCTCACTGATAATTGATCCTCTTAGCATGAGCGAGGGGAGCAGTGGTGGTACATTTCAGATTGCTGCCACTGAAAAGTGCATTCTGCAATATCATCAAAAAAAAGCTGCACCTTCGGTATTAAGTTATTATGTATTAAGCACCTTACTCGCCCTGAAGGCTGGTTTCTGTCTCAACGTTCTCGTCATTCCGCTGCCAAAATCACATGGAACGAGAGAGGGCTCGCTAGGCAGATGCCTCAGGGACAACAGAGGGCTTTCACAGGGTCTGAAAGAAGGAGACAATACACGCAGGCTGCAATCCAAAAGCCCATTTACCGTTGGAATGGATTGTGTGAGGAAGGCTGTTCTGCAGCTATCTGTCTGGATGTTCATCCTCCTTCTCACCCTGAACGTCACACTGTGGCATCTGTTTCAGCTGCATGTGGAACACTGACGTTTGTTTGACTCAGTTTCTCAGTTTTCCACTGTACAGCTTGAGTGTACAAAAAAAAGGTGCCCTATTTTGTCTGGGTGGTTCATTTAACCAGATATTTCTGCCCTGATATTTGATCGTCCAAGTGAAAACTGATACAGTCGCCTGGAAAAGAAAGGTAAACCACAATGAGGCTTTGATTTCTGCTGGAGAATGAGGACTCCTGCAGGGATGGTGCTGTCCCCTGAGGCCTGATGGCACGGAGGGTTTTGTCTGTAGTATCCTCTGGGAGTTTCCTTTAACCTGACTCGACTGTAACTGTCCCTCCCAGGAACATCGAGGGATGTAAGCCATCACAAATCCACACGCAACGCAGAACAAAAGACTTTAGTCTCCCCGTGGTGGCGTGGGTCTCAGCTTTAGGATTTAGAACATGTTGTTGTTTCAGGTCTGTGCCTACTTAGGCTATTTTTAGATTTATGATATTCACCTGTGTCGAGGACTAAAGGCACGGGAATTACATTTGATATTTTAACACAGGTTAGAGTTCAGGGGGGAACTTTTATAGGTAGAATGTCAAAGTGTCCCACACCCAACTACAGTAAAGTTGTTCCCTCCACATATGTTTGTCAGATGGATAAAAAACTACTAAAACTGATTTTCATGAAACTCAATGAAAAGATGTGACAAAGGTCAAGAAAGAACTTATAACAGTTTGGTACAGATTTGGACGAAGGTGCAGTTCCAGGAATTGCTTTAATACTTTCTTTATCTTTGTGCGTTAGGGGCGTTTATTTGATGTTTTCTCAGGGAATAATAATGGATGATGATGAAAATAATCTGACATATTCATTTCATATTAAGGGGACTGATATCCATGGGGAGCTGTTGGGCCTAGGCGGAGGTGTGCACCATTCTAGTTTACCTTATATTGGTTTTAAGGGGAAATAGTCAAAAAACAGAAAAGATGTCCTAAACTTTCCCAAGTATGTCAACTACGTCTCGTCATCTGTCTACACAGAGTTTGTGGCGGCCGCTGTTTGGTCTCATTTCGACGACTGTCCAGACTCCCATCGCCATTTCTGCTTCCATGGTACATGTCGCTTCCTGATAGTGGAGGAGATGCCAGCATGTGTGTAAGTCAGTACTCATTGAAATGTGAATGCTAACGTTATTAAGTGCTTAGTTTTTCTCAGTTTTTTCAGTGTTTATCTTATTTATGAATCTGTTGTTCACTAGAAATGGAAGCAGTTATAATAAACATTATCTCTCATGTACAGAGGAACATATGTGCAATTTAAATACAGGTTTGGACTTCATGTTGGACTTTTCTGTGTAGCTTGCTCTGCCTGGTAGAGCGTTTAAAGCTCTGGAACTAACGATGGGGCGAAACTCTGTCGTACACAACCTGAAGATCTGAGGCTGTTGGGAAACTCGATTGTAGTTTCTGCGGAGAAGCTTCAGGTCAGAGAGGAGAGTCAGTGATGCTGGACTGAAGATGTTTGCTCTAATGTAAATGAGCAGAAAAAACAAAACTCTCTCTCCAAATGTGAAAACCACCTTTCACAAATCAGCCATATTTTATTTTGGAAATCGCCTTAATCAAAGGAAACATGAGCTCAGTGATTTCACTTATGTGAATGGACGGATAATCTTTACGCCACAGAGCCGCTTGTCATTTTATGAAAGGTGTTCAGTAATTTCCCTGAATTTAGTCATCAATAAGATGAGATGTTTCCTTATCATAAAAACCTTTTTCCTCTCGACTGAACATAACTGGGGCTCTTTTATTTTTTAAATCAGCTGGGAAAGTTAAAGCATTTCTCTAGTACATGACATTAATGTGATTAGATCCAGAATAAAAGCTTGTGGGATCTTAGACAGGCTATGTTTAAAATCCTCCATTTCATAAACCACTGTTTCTCTAATGTGTCCATGTTGCAGGTGCCATCAGGGTTTTGTCGGGATGAGGTGTGAACACGCCGACCTGCTCGCTGTCGTGGCAACAAACCACAGACAGCAGACCGTTGCCACAGTGCTGGTGTTGTGTGTTATCGGATGTGTTCTGATCATGGTGTTGTGTACACTTTTACAGTAAGTAACATATTTTCGTCTTTTATTTTCACTTGATGACAAAAATGGCCCCCACCTCCATACACACCACGTTCTTGCGTACGTAGCAATATGAGATGATGACGCTGATGCCAGAATGATTTTGAGAAACTGAAGTCAGTTCTTTGTTTAGTTGCTGGTGGAGACAGGACTGTCGGAGGCGGAGCCACGCACATCACTACGTCTCAGAGAAGCATGGAGCATCCTGCTATCCATCGGAGAGTGGTACTGTCATTTATTTTCTTTTTAAAAAAGAAAAGTGCATTTCTAAGGCTGTTGGTGATGTAAAAATCCTAAATGACATTAACCATATCAGGCTATACTTCCTGGTAGGGTTAATCATATTTTATTTGTTGACAATGAGAATAACCTATAATGTTACCTCAGAATCCTCAGAGGAAACGAATCACTTACCTGTTCCCTTTCAGTGGTTTGAGAAGACATCTGAACACGAGCTGTCTGCATCATGGCGTGTTTCATTTACCTCATCAGTTCGACCTGCAGACCCTCAGGATTTCATCCAAAGTGGAATGTTCTGCTCCAGACGACTTGATGTGGGTGGTTAAATGTTTTTTTTCGCACAGTGACTGGGACTTTTGGACTGCAGCGGCCCCCAGAACGTGTTTTTCTTCAAACTTTTGATTCTGTGGAAATACACTTAGAACTGCACCGGTCTGTCTGACCCTGTGAGGATGCAGCTGAGGCCACATTCCTCGTGCAGGAGCTCCGAGTGTGTCTCCATTGGTATTTAAGACTGACCTAAAGGACATCAGAAAAGATTTACAAGGCAATTAACCATCCTGTGTGGATGTGGAGTAGGAAAGGCTGTGGGATGACAACAATTCATTGACTCGAGTCAGAAAACCCCAATTCCTAATTTTGTCATTTTAACTTCTTTGCACAAAAGAACTCTACATGCACAGAGGATATTTTTAAGAAATGGAGGTGGGGAAAACCGATGCTCTATAAAAAAAAAAAACGTTTTAGTATCTGTTTTTAAAGAAGGAACTCACGTCGCCTGACAGGAGTAGGAATTGTAACTGGACTGACTCCAATGGATTAAAAACCCTGGATATACAAAGACTTCTATCAATGAGTAAACACAAAGGTTGCAATTGAAAATTGTCCCAGTGTGGTTCTGATATGCATTGGAGAGAAAATATCTTTTTATTCCGGAGCTGCACTTGAACGTGCTCCATGCACCAGAGGTTTTTTAATGCAAGCTATAACTGTACTAACACTTGCACATCCTGGGTGTTCACATTGTTCCAAGGAACTTTGGTCAAATTTGCACTTTTCTGTAAGTTTGATCATCGTTCATTACTCTACACTGAATCACTTATAAAAAGCGTCCACATAGTGAGAGATGCCAAATACACTTGTTTTTAATTTTCCTGAGTGAGCACTGAGGGGAGGAGATGTACGGTTTGTACACGTACACTCTAAGCATGCACGCACTTAAATCACAACTTGTGTTTTTAAGGAGACACAAAATATTCTTTTAATTTCAGGTGTGTTATAGCGTTGCATCTGCTTTGAAATACTTTTAAAGTGAGAAAAGCCTCTGAGGGTCAGTTTAAAACAATATATTTAACTTTTTCTTACAAAACTGGAATAATTAGTAATAATGATAATAATAATTGGTGAAGGAATGAAAACTGACAGGGATGTACAGTAAAGTGTGTTCATGCTTTGTGTAATAATAATTCCACCATAAAAAGAATGGGATGGTATTTTCATGCCGAGAGACTCTGAGGGGATGGTACTTTGCTTTGTTTACAGTATGTGATGATATTTACATCCAGAATGTGTTGATGTTTGTTATTACAGCATTCATGTGTAAATATCAAAACCACAGACATATTCTATGTGTATGTATGTATGTATGTATAATGTCTGTATAAAATCATGTGGAAGGGGATGCACCCTTTATTTTGTCAGAAATATGTTGTCACAGTTGGAAAGACTCTGTTATCTGCATTTCTTTTCCAATGAAAAATTTAAAAAATGGAAGTGTCTTTGCATTTTTTATTTATCAATTATTGTTTCATCTGTTATTTGATTTGTTGTGTGACTCCCTTTTCACTTCCCGAAGCACTTTCCCTTCTTTTTCTTCTCTTTCTGCAAATCCCCTGATTAGCCGACACTTTTTTTTCTCTTCCACTGAATATTTCAAGACATAGAAATGTCAACATGAAATCCAGAACCCGAGGCACAATTGAACAAAGAGCTGAACTCCTGAGTGCTTTTATAGCTGAAGGAAACATTTCAGCCTTCTTCTGTATCGCCTTTTGTTTTATTTGATTTACATTTCTGAGTTCACAGAATTTACATCCTTTCATGTTAAGGCATTAAAAGGTTTGAACTACATACATGCTGTCTGTTTCCATTATATGTCGACATGGTCCCTCATAACGTGCTGCGTCTCCTCTGCTCCTGCCTTTCGCTCTCTGCATGAGGAGCTCTGTCTTTTTGTTTTGCAATCCCATTATGTCTGCAATTGGATTTCTGTGGAGTCCTTTAGAGCCGTCTGGCTGAGCTACTAAACCAGCTTTGAATTAAGCAGCTCTTGTGAGCGCTTCCCTAAAGTTGCACAATACCCTTTAACATCCAAACCAGCGCAAACACATGAAATCAAAAGAAAACGAGAGAAAGAGAAAGAAAAAACAAGACTAATTAGTAAAAACATTCCACTTCTTACATTATTGTAAATTGAAGGTAGTTTTATGGATGTCTGGATATTTTCCCAAACTCGGATTCTCTTCAAATCTGATTTGGACACATGTCAATCCTGATTCCCCATAAGAGGCTGGAGCTCAGCTCTGAATTGCCACTCTGGTCTGATTCCCTCTGCTTCCATCCTCCTCTGCTGCTTTTGATCCTCAGCCCAACATTCCCAGTATCTGCTCTGAGCAGATGGTTTGAAATAAGAGTATTTACAAAGGTATTAAGGTTAAGCAACCCTGCCTTGTTCTCACTGCTGAGCACTGAAACAAATCATTAGGGAGGTTGACAGATCTGAGGCTTCACTTAAAAAGGTCACGTTACGAAATTCACCTCCGATCATTGACATGAACGTGAAGTCATGATGTTTCTGTTTATATTTAGGATTTAGGAACCCACTGTCTCCATGAGGTTATTTTCATTTGTCAGCATTTCCTTTAATCAATAATGATAAATGCCTCTGTTGAGTAAAAAAATATTATTATTTTGTACTTCACTACTAAATGAAATCATATTACTAAGCCACAAAATATGAATTTGTCTTTTTAAGCATCGTATTCAGGGCCAGAACTGATGAATATTTCCATTATCAATCAATCTGTTGACTGAACGTCTCAATGGGATCATTCACACTATAAATACATTAGAGGATAGTGAAAAAATATCATCCCAGATGAAAATGATGATGGTGGAAATAGATCTGCGATGACCTAATATCATCAGGGCTAAGGCATCAATTGGGCTCTTATGATTATTTTCATTTACTAGCTTTGAATTTTCTTTAGTTTCAGTGTCATAATGATGATCCTTCTTTTATTAATCTGTCTTTGTTAATGTTTTATTTAGTCTCAGCACTAAGGATGTTTTTTTAAAACACACAGTTTTTCTAAACATCACAAATTTTGTAGTCATATGACAGCACTATAAAAAATGTCCAAAAAAACAATATTAATGGCTCTCAATTTATTTACAATAGAAATGTATGATAATTACAGAGTTTATATATTATCCAGTATTTGACTCTGAACATTTGTTCGAGTTTCATCAGTTAAAGAGGAGCAGTGAAGTGCTACACACGGCTACAATCCTTCAATGAGTTCCCTAACTGAACCACAGTTCGTCTGAGTAGCTTTGCACTTGAGCACATGATTGTTTGGCATTAATCCACGTGCTGCTGAAGACATGACAGCAGCTCCTCCAGGGAGCCGAGCCGATGCTCTCTGGGAACGTCGGGTTGGTTTTGCTTGTTGTGTCTGTCTAATAGGATCCCGTGGATCCCCACAGAGCGAGAGCAGAGGTAATCATTCACATAATGATCCCCAACATGAGCTACACCTGCAGGCGCTGCGCCACATTTCTGCAGGGCCTGATCAAAGATGACTGGATTGGGCTTTGCTACACCTGCTTCCTCAGACGTTATCAAGAAGCTGAAGTAAGACCGCAGACCACAAACACGTAGAATCGCTTCTAAGCGGCAGTCAAAGTTGGACACCACACCAAGCTTCAGTCCGAGGGAAGAGCAACTCTCCAGAGCCTTCCTCGAGTCTGGAAATACCTAAAAGAAAGCAACATCAGGCAAAACCAGTTGATGTTTTCTGTGTTGTCTGTCTGTAAATATGTTTCTGATGCTGCAAGATATTTCCAAGAGTTCATGTCTGAAAAAGACTTGAGAGTCCTGCAGTAAGAATGATTAGAAATCAACTTGAAATTATTTAACATTTCAATAATCCTAACATTGTCTTGTTCATCTAACATTTCTAAATGAAACACATTTATACGTTCATACATAAACGACATCTGGATCATGTCATCTCTCATTTACCTCCCAGTTCTCTGCGTTGCAAAAATTATGATAAAGGTTTTGAGCCAACGTGTTTAGCAGGGTTGGGTCTTGCACCCTGCACTGGGAGAAAGTGTCCCGCACTACCCCCATCCACCAAGACTGTCCATCCAGACCCTGTGTGATGCCATAGTTTGGGTATCGGCTGGAATACCGTCGATATGCCTGACGGAAAGCAGCGTCCACCTCCACAGGACTGAGGCTCAAGCCCATTCGTTCAGCCTCCTTGCAGTACTGCTCTCCTACAGACGAGCGCACCTTCAGCAGCGTGTCCTTCACGTCCCACAGCACCCACCTCAGAGGAACCCGCATCACACCTACACAGGTAAGACCACACAGATAAGACAGATTCATGTTTAAACAAAACCTGTTCAGTTCATGTTTCATCACCAGCTGGTTTCAACATTCACTGTAACTCCACAGGTCACTGCACTGTGCTTTTGTCTTATTAGTCTTCCTGATGTCAATGATGAGAATTGAATTAAATGAAATAGAACAGATTTGAATTGTAAAAGGTGTCAGGCCCTGTTTCGACCCGGTGTTCTGGAAGTGCCAGAGTACAACAGAATAAATAAAGGAAAACCAGAATGGATAATGAAGCATGGATGATTCTACAGAGCTGTTCTGCTGATTTCTTACTAAGATGGTAATGATTTGTGGTGAACCTGAACACACACACACACACACACACACAGAGAACAATGTGACGTCACTTAACTACAAGCCGTCATCACTGATCCAGGGTCTGATTATGATTTTTTAAATTCAATCTACGTAAAAATCTGTTTTACTTTTTTAATTGCTGCTAGCTAACGTTAGCTAACGCTACACTCCTTTACTTTGCTACAGCTCTTATTACAAACATTGTAAACCATGATGTAAACATTACCAAATTAATTATGAAGCTGAATTCAGTTGTAAACAGTTGCTCCTGCTCCTCCTGCTCCTCCTCTGCTCCACCTCCACCTCCTTCTCTTCTCTTCTTCTTCTACTTCCTCTTCTCGGGAGTTTCAGGACAGCTGTTGCCCTCTTGTGGCGTTCTTGCTCCATCGCCGTTAATGTCCTGTGAATTGAAAATAGTATTTCTAAAGTAATAGTAAAGCCACGAGCTCATTCGATTACTAGAAAATAATCAATTGATATTCATTTAATCATTTCATTGTTTTTTATGTTTAAATATTGTATTTTTTAGCTTAGCCGCATCGTCACATCCTTTCTTCCCACATGCGTCACTACTACCTCCAGTACAGCAGGGGGCGGTAAGGACAAGCAGCTGTCAAAACGTACAGTGCCGGTCACAGTGTAGAGGGTAAAACAAATCCTGTTTAGAAAACATGGCGTGTTGACATCGTGACGACCTGAGGTTCTCAGCTCAATGGCGACTCCAGCTGTTCGCATGCTCCGCAGGTTGGAGGGTTTGTTCTGTGTCTACAAACCTTCCGGTGTTCACTGGAAACTCGTCCGGGACAACATCGAGACAAGTCTTCTTAAAGGTGACGAGAATACGTTCTTAACTGTGAGGACACTTCTTAACTGTGAARACACGTTCCTAACTGTGAGGACACGTTCTTAAATGTGAGGACACGTTCCTAACTGTGAGGACACGTTCTTAAATGTGAGGACACGTTCCTAACTGTGAGGACACGTTCCTAACTGTGAGGACACGTTCTTAAAGGTGAGGACACGCCCCTCCATCATGCTGTCCTCTGTCTCCTCCAGGTTTAAACTCAGTTCCACAGCAGCCTTGTCCTCAGGAGATTCGCTTCCTGGCTCAGCCGGGCGGTGACAGTGAAACACCCAGAGGACTCATCCTGTCTGCAGCCTCTGTCCCTGCTCTGTCCAAACACCCTCTGGGTAAGTGTGTCCACTGACTGTTCAGCTCCATCCTCTGTAGAAAAGTCTCTTTCATTTCTTTGTATTTTAAATCAGATCAGAATTAGAATCGGGGTTTAATAGCGAACAATACAAAATATAAAAATATTACAAGTACTAGAAGAGGATTGTAAAATGAAAGTAAAATATTTACAATTTGAAGTATGTACAGTATAACTGTTATTGGCCATGGAAAGTTCAAGTGTCACAGGTGGGGACATGTATGCAGTCTAGTGATTGGGACTCTGGCCTTGTTAAAGAGGCCAGCAGCGGTCAGGTGGCGTTTGAATGATGGACTGCCGTCAGACCCTGTCCCTGTTAGTAGCAGCAGTGCATCATGGGTTGATGAAGGAGGGGAGGACGGACTCGATGATGCGCCCCACATGCCTTTTCTACATGTAATTGAATGATGTGACCAATATGGATAATTGTTTGTATCTGTGTGTTGTCAGTTTAAATAGCTTGTGTTTGTTCCTAATCTTTAACTTGAATGAAGATCTGACCACATGTCAGACAAACTTACTTTTACTTGCCAAGAATATGGATTTTATTATTTTTTGTAATCTCATTAGATTCAGTTGTTAATCTGCACCAAAGATGTCATAGCAGGAAACACAGACAGCACTAAATCTGTGCTCACTCAGGGTTTCTGTCCTGCAGAGCGAATGAGGCCTGATGACTCATCACTGACTTCTGAAGTGCTGGAATATCTGAAGAAAACTAAAATGCTGCTGTCATGTGTATGTGCACGATGATGACTGTACATGAGTGAATTCATAAAATGAGTTTTCTTCTGTGTTGTAGTAACTGGACCTATATTCCAGCATGTTCGAGTCGGAGTCGGACATCGCCTGGACGCCTCCTCCTCTGGAGTTTTAGGTGCGAGTTTAGTGCCGATCATGTGAGAAAATGTGATTGTGTGTTCGCCTCTCAGAGTTCACACCCTGTTTTTCATCTACAGTTCTTGCAGTTGGGAATGGAAACAAGGTCCTGAACGATCTCTACAAAACACGAATCACAAGGGTAAGTTTCATTTTCCATTGGTTTCATATGAGAAATGAAATGAAGACACAATCTCGACAGGTTTGATTCTGTGTGCTGCGTTTCAGGATTACACAGTGGAGGGGACGTTTGGGAGTGCGACAGAAGATTTCTCTGACACGGGTCGTGTTGTGGAAAGATCCACTTATGGTGAGATACCTCACTGTTCCCTACTATTTAAGATTATGTTATTGTTATATTTCTTCAGTTTCATCAGTTCATTCTCTGATGTGTTTCAGATCATTATGATAGTTGAATAATGAAGCTGAAGTAACTTGATACGTTCACTTAATAATTAAAGCAGCTCATTATATTATCATCTCCAAGCACCATCCACCCTCAGTTTGATTTCTGTTTTTCTGTGGGTCCTTTTCATCAACTTAATTTTATATGAGCTTTACACTTTCATCAAAAAATCATATTATGCATATTAATATGTTGTTATTATATTACAATGTATATTATGTAACATCTATCCTATTGTACCAGACCCTATAATTATGATATTGTTGTGCTCGACAGATCACATCACACTGGATAAGCTGAACCGAGTTCTGGCCATGCTGCAGGGAGCCAATCAAAAGGCCATGTTAATGTATGTAAATTGCATTTTACATTCATTCATTTCTCCATGAACAGTTTTTGTCAAACATGACTGTAATATATACCCACTGACGTGCTTGGCCCTGGAATACGACCCAACAAATACAAGTGCTTCATAGATGCAGGTAGATTCATATTTTTCTACACAGGTATTCCAACGTAGACATGCGCTCACAGGAGGCCTATGAGATGGCTGTGCAAGGCCTGCTGGGTCCGGAGGGGAAATCTGTGCCTATTGTGACAGGCCTGCGCTGCGTTCACTTCCAGCCTCCCAACTTCACATTAGGTAAATAATCTCAAATTGAACACATTCAGCATCTTATTTCACAATTTGAAAAGAATGCTGATATGTTTTCCTCCTCCCACCTACAGAGGTGCAGTGCCTAAATGAAACACAGAGATATTTGCGCAAAGTTGTGCACGAGATAGGACTTGAGCTGCGCAGCACGGCAGCGTGTACAGGAGTCAGACGGACCAGAGACGGACCGTTCACACTGCAGGACGCTCTGACATGTCACCGCTGGACGGCCTCTGGTGTCATGCAGGCCATCCAACAATACCACTCCAGTCAGAAAAACAAAAGACGCTCCCAGTCACAGATCAAGAATCCACAATTACAACCACCTGAGGAGAATGTGAAAGAGTCGTCAACATGAAACCAACGAGGAAGCAGCGGCAGCAGGTAGAAGGAAATGACTTGATGTTGATATAAACTATATATATATATAACAATAAAACTGCTCTACAGTGACTCAACGAGTCTGGAGGCTGACCTAAATCTTACACACTGGACCTTTAAGTGTTTTTTTATTTTTTATCTTGAAATAAACTGAAAAAGAATTTGACTAAACATTTGAACTTTTTTTTTTCCTGCCATTTGATGGTTGGAGCTTGTGTGTGTACAGACCACAGACTGTAAGCACAGACAGGATGTGGAGCAGTGTATTTTGATAAGGTGGTTGGAGCCATAATTCTGATGATTCCCCTGCTTTATTTGTACAAATACTCCCCCAAGTGGTGAAAAGTCAAACCTACCCCTTATGCAATATTAAACGTGTTCAACCAGTTATTCATGAGATCAGATCTTGTAGTGTGTTTATCAAAAGAATAAAAAAGAGCCGGAAATGAAATTACATTATCACATGTTCTAATCTTGGTTTTGATCTGGTTCAAACCCTCAGTTTGTCTTTTTCAAAACAGCATTAGTAGGATTGGGATGTTTGATCAGAGTTAACGTGTAATATTCATTAGTTATTGGAAACTTAATTGGTCATTAAGTGATCATAAGTGTTTGCTCTTATAAAGACAGATTAGATCATTCCTGGTTGTTGCAGTTGTTGTTCACACATTGTTGAATTCCTTTAAAGTTTGTTAATTAGATCTTTTTTTTTTAAATCAATACCTTGAAGGTTTTTTTGAAAATAAGCCTAAATAGACCCGGTTGCGTCCTGGTCCCTGGTTGGGTCTTTGGAACTGAGGCTTGAAGATAATTTGAAAAACTCCTTGTATTAGTTGTAGAATAAATCTTTACCAGGTTTTGATATTTTAACTAAAATAAGATGCGAACATGTTCCGGCCTATGTTGGAAATTCCCAAACAACTGAAGAAGAGAGTAATGCCGTGATTCTCTTGATAGTTAGAGGATCACTGGTTTCAGATTTGGTGAAATGTTCTCAGGCCTGATGAGATGTTGTCTCAGCATCTGTTTCCCACAAAAGCTCCTTTGGGGACATTATGAGGTTATTCCAGCAGTGCCATTGTTGTCATACTCTTCATTCCATTGAAGGACTTGTTCCTGTGGGAACACTGGTGTCTTTGTCAGACCGGAGACACAAAACTTCTGTGAGGACACAGATCAACTATGTAAGCATGAGTCGTGAGATCTGCAGCTTTATTAAGTATGACACGCGACATTAGAACATCTTGATGACAGGTGTTCAGTGACATAAGTTTCACAACATGATAAAACGGTTTGACATTTATACTGAGAGTCAATCATTTTATTACCACTGTCTTTTATTATAGAGGCATGAAATTAATTTATGAGTCCAACACCATTCATTTAGAACAGATGGTAGACACTTTAACATCTTAATACTGTTTAGAAATAACACTGTGTACTAAAGAAAAATGATTTTCAGGCATGGAGTATTTCATATTTTAACATTTCCTCTGACACTGGTTTGTACAATACTCTTTGTTGTTTCATGAAAATAAAATTAACAATTTACATAAAATACAAACTGTGTAGAATAAACACTTAATAGCTGCATGATGTAGAGAATTTTTTTGGGGTGGCTGTGGATGAGGAAGTAGAACCACTAACTAACGTCGGTGGTTCAATCCCCAGCTCCTCCAGTCTGCATTCTGTGTCCTCGGGGAAAACCCCCTCTGACTGCTGCCGACAGTGTGTGAATGATGGGTGAAATGTGAATAGTAGGTCTGTGTGAATGTGTGAGTGAATGTGTCCTGTACTGTGAAGCACTTCGAGAGTGCGATATGACCACAAGACTATATTTTTCCACATATAAACACAGACTATTTAACATATTGTTACATCCTTGAGTTCAAAATGTTCATTCTGACATTCCTAAAATATCAATTTAATGTGATCATCAATATGTAATTGGACCAGGAGAGTAGTGCAAAGTATTTCATGGAAGGTAAAATAATCTAAAATGGTGAAACAGAGAACAACGATATAAAGTAGCATTTTGAAAGATTAAAAAATCCAATGTTCATCATGTAAGAATCCTGGTATTAGAGAATACCTGCACTAGGTGTAAAGTACAAACATAAAGATGTCCAGTAAGTACACAAGCAATTTCAGAACCCCCCACCAGAGTTTCACCACCGTCACAAGTTCAGCAACATCCTGATCTTGTTCTCTGCGGGGGCTTAATGTGTAACTCCACGGTTTGCTCACTTGTGTCATGTTTTTCACTCAACATCCTGCAACAACACAACAAGAGCAACACGATCAGCTGATATTGTGACATTACAGCACAAATCATTCAGGTGAGATGAGACATTACAATAAATATGAATACTGTTAAATGTGTTAATTACCTGGCGACAGTTTCCAAAGAGTGAATCACATTTTCACCTGTGGCAGCGCTACACTCCATGAATTCAAAGTTGTACTCCTGTGGAGGAACACGGCCACTTTTAGCATTACAACAATTTACAAACACTGTGTCGTCATCTGAAATTGTGAGAGGATGTGACGCCACAGATCCAAACCTTAGCGAGGATTTCTCCCTCCTCAGTTTTAACCTTCCGCTCTCCACAATCACTCTTATTCCCAAGAAGTAAAATGGTCACGTCTCCTGTTGCACCTTCCTGCAAAATATGGAATAGTTTGATTATTGTTTGTGATTCTGACATTTAGGGATGTTCAGTAAATCCTAAAACATTTATTGCAAACAAGTGTTTTTTTTAGCATTGTTAGTAATAAATATATAATAATCACTTTTGTTTTATGTATTTCTAATAATTCTGAGCAGTTTCACAGGGAATAACTAGTGGWTTTCGATGAAAACAAGTGGGCATATTAAGGGAACTAATATCATAGTGTGTGAAATCTGGTGCAACTTAATTGATTTGAATGGCACTGCCCTCCACTTAGTGTCATTCTGGTGTTTCACTATAATTATATAATATAATTATAGTTCCTGTGCTCTTGTACATAATATAATTTATATTATGTACAAGAGCATGAGAATCCCTGAATTGCCTGATTTTATTAACTTCCTCGAAAACCATATAAAGCGTTTGGTACGTATCGTTTGAAAAAATCTGAATATATTATATATATTATTATTTTCATTATTTAAAAAAGGAGTCAGAGGAAGTAAATCCAATCAGGTGCAGGGAATGTGTTGCTTCCAGTAAAATGCCTGTGTTCATTCACAATTGTCCATTCCCACTGTCGGTTTCACATTCCAACATTGACGGACCCCTGGTATGCACAGTACCTGGATGCAGTTTGCCCAGTAGCTGATGGCAGAGAAGCTCTGAGAAGACGTGATGTCGTACATCAAGAGAAACGCCTGCGCTTTATGAAAAACCTGCCTGGTGATGCTGTGAAACCTGTTAAGACAGAAAACAAAACAATCTGAGACGATCCAAACAGAGATAAGACATCCTGTTTAAACCAGGGGGAGGCCACCAACCTCACTTAAAATGCTTTTCTTCACATTCTCTAGTGAAAGTTATGCTGTGGGAGACAATATTTCGTAACTGAACAGTCCTGTAGTGAAGGGTAAGTTTCCACCAATACACTGGTTAGTGGAGTTTTCTGAGAATTTGCTAAAGGTTTTTTCAAGAGACTTTATTTTTGATGTTTTTTCCAGGAAAGAGCAACTCTCATGTAAAGACAGTGATTGTCTCTGGTTAAGTAAATCTTACATAGACATCACCTTCATAATTATATTACAAAGTTGGTGTAAACAGAGTTGGGGGTAAATATGTTAATCTGAATCCCTATCAAATGAGTGGGTTCATTAAAGGCTGTTAATTCAACTATGCTCATCTAATACGTCCTCCAAACTGTGTCCACACCACATGTCTGTAGCATGTGGAGTGAACATGTGCACATGTACAAGCTCTGTGTGCGCACCGCTCCGTGTCTCGAGGGCAAGAAATGTTTTCATTCCAGAATGCAAAACATTGTCGAGATGGGTCAAACCAGTTCTGTAACAGGTTACAATTTGGCGTCAAAGTGAATCCTGGACATACTAAGGCTGTTTTGGGCACATTGTGTTGGACATTGTGTGGGACATTGTGTGGGACATTGTGTGGGACATTGTGTGGGACATTGTGTGGCCTGTGTGAACAGTATCTGCAGCTTGTTACAATAACACGTACATGATGTATTCACATGTGCTCAGCAGAAGTCTTGGCTGACACTTTGCTGAGAGCCCGGGATGCTCCCGTCACATTTTGTTTCGGGAAAGCCCTTTGGAACAGAGACAACCTGTCCTGAGCCTAAGTCCACTCACCCTTCCTGGATATAAAAGACTCATGGTGCTTGTGGCAGAGGATTTAGGACATTATAAAGCATAAAATAACACCCTGTACCCTTCACGGTGATGCCTCCTTCTACTAAATGACCTTCCCTCCAACCAACAACCAGATCATGAGCCTCTTCACAACAGACATCAGGAGTAAACCCACGTAAAGCTGCAGGACCTGAAAGTACCTGTACGAATGTTCAGACTGATTGGTCCTCATGTCCTCATGTCCTCATGTCCTCATAGACACCTTCCAGCTTTCCCTCCGGTCATTAGGATTGTGGGCATTGTACACGCTTTCTTTCACTACAAGTAATACTTCTCCTCCATGCAGTCAGGTATTAGGTAACATTGTGCCAGAAATCTCCTCTCCGCTTAATGACATTGCGAACAACTATGTGCTTTAAGATCACCACCGGAAAAGGGGGAAAAATCCTTTTTGCAGAATGAACTTTTAAAGATCATGTGAATCTAAATCATAAAATCTAAAACCTGTATTCTCAAGGTGGGGGGCCTTTAATTAACGTGTTTGATCGAAACCCCAATAGTTGGTATGAGACTCTCTGTGTTGTGCTGTAAAATCAAACAGGATACTCACCTCTCCTGACCCGCTGTGTCCCATAACTGCAGCACCACAGGCTTTCCATCCACAACCACAGTCCACATGCAGTAATCTAGGCCTATAAAATATGCTTTCTGTTAATTATTCTTCATATTTACCTTCATTTATGAGAATACAGATCCCAAGAGGGGACTTTGAAAGCCTCTCAATTACAGAACACCTCAAAAACTGAAATTTTTCACACATGTAGTCATTTCAATGTGTTTTACTTGTTGTTGCTCTGATGTGTCTGATGTTGTTCGTGTTGGTATTTGTTGTGGTTTTGTGATTTTGTATTGTTCTGTGTAGTTTGTGTTTCATCAACACTCACTCATGCTTTCCTTCTATAATTATCTTTTTTTTTTTACCCAATGGGAATCAATAAAGGATATCATCTTATTTTGTCTGGTCTTGAATTTTATCACCTAACACAATTCAGTAAAAATCAGGGTCTTACCGACAGAGGCGGGTACATCGTAAGAAAACTTCCCACTGCGGGCTCTTTTCATGAGGGAGGTCTTGCCTACGCTGCTGTTGCCAACCAGCAGCACATTATAACTTTTCGATCTGATGTCTGCTCCTCTGGAATCACCTGCTGGAGGGAAAACAGAAACGCTTACATCATATACACATGTTTGTATTTTCTACTGTGACGGCTGACTTCAGGGTGGAAGTCCTACTGTTCAATTTACCCAAAGAAAACGTATTTTGCCCCTCTTGTCTCGGGGGGAATTCAGTATAGTGCTGTTGAACTGGTTTCTCTCTCTCAGGTGCCTTCCCACTGTGGAACAGACAAAGTGTTATATAACATAATAAGCACAACAAATGAGAGACATTCTGCTGCAGGGTTTAGATCAGTCATCACTATTTTGAATGCAGAACTGTGCGGTTATAACCAAAAGGTTGTATTTGAATTTAAGAGAAAAACAAATTTGAAAAGAAAAATAACAGTGCAATGTAAAACCAACAATGCAACTGACCTGCTGGCAAAACAAACGTGTGTATGTAATGTTAGCACCAAATCCTGTTTGCACTTTTAACAGGATTAGTGTAGACCAAAGGCTCGCATGAGTCAGAGGCTCGGCTTCTTTGATGAGTCAGACAGATGAGTTGCAAAACATCGTTGACAGTTGAATAGATTCACTCAATAGTTTACGTGTGGATGTTTAGTCTTTGTTTTGATTGCTAACGCCAATCAGTCAAAGGGAGAATGAATGCACAGCACTCGGTGCAGTATTACATTTATCAAGTTAGATTAGTCGGCAGTCTGACAAATGTTGTTGAACTGCCAATAAAGAGGAAGTTGAGTGTTTGCCTCAGAATGTAATGGCTCGAATTGTTAAGTGAAAGCAGAATATGCAAACAGAATTCACACACTTAATAGTTTAGTGGCTGAAGGTTAATGTATAGTCCATATCTGTATGTGTAACAAGGCAGAAAACATGATTCAATAGAGTTGTCATAGATTTATATTTCTTCTGATCTGGTTCATGCTGATACGATCGATGGTAACAGGCAGATCAACACAAAGCCACTGAAGGCGTTAAACAGGTCCTGGAGGCTGCAGTGTTTGTTTTGCATCTCTGTTGAACTGTGGTGTTGGTTTTACCTCAACGGCCTTGAGAGCTCTGGTGCGTTTGAGACGCTGATGTTGGATGATAATGTTTTGACACTTTCTTCAACCTGCAGACAATAAAAAAAACAGTCAAGAGATGATTCTGCATATTTCATCTTGAATCAGACATATAAAGTAACGCCACCAAAATATGATGTTTTATGGAAAGTAAAAGCAGCAGGACTTATAAGAGTGTGCTCTGGAGCAAAAACGATATTTGCATAAGGAGTTTACCCATTTAGTTTCTGCTTTGCATAATATCCTCTCCGATCAGAGCACATACCTTCTTAACAGGCTGTCGTTTAAGTTGTTGTGCAACTGTATCTGAACGCTTGAAAGAAAATACCAATGCAGACATCAAGAAAGAACAGATACAAGCTTATGTTCTCGAGAAAACAGATACATGTTTATGTTCTCGAGAAAACAGATACATGTTTATGTTCTCCTTTTCACTACGTGAAACTTGTAGTGTTGACCACATGTTCCTCATTTTGGCTCATTGTGTCATTTTGTTATTTTTGTAACAGTTGCAAGGGTTTTTATGCAAATAGGAAGCTGAGCACAACACAGACATTCTGCTGCTACTGTCACTAATAATAGATACGAGTTCACTGCAGACGGAGCACAGTATTAAACTTTGTACAATTTTGTTGACTTTTCAAATTCCGTTGTGTCATGCCATCAGTTTGTATCATTATATTGTGTGAATTAAACTGACAGGTTCATTAAAATGAAGTTTAAAGGCCTGCGCTTAATCTGCAACAATACATGAAATGCAGCAGAGGGGTGATGCTAACTTTTTAATGTTGTAATAAAGCACTTTCATAACAAAGTAATAATTCAACCACGTTAAGTAAAAACACAACAGTAGAATCACACATATCAAATATTCCCAATATTTAAGTTTGCTGCTCACCTCTGATTTTTCGTTCAGGCCCAAAGACTCTTCTCTTTCTTCTTGACTTGTCTTGTTGACACTTTCATCAGTCAGACTTCTCACGTCTCTCTCTTTTTGTGCACTGATCATTCTGTCTTCATTCTTTTGATGTCCATGTGACTTCCGGTGAGACCCCATCTTTCTTCTTCTGCCTCCAGCTGCTGATTCTGACATAACATCTTGTTTATGAGGAGGGGACAGTTTTGCAGGGAGGTAATCTGGAGTTAGATGATGCTCTGTTTCTGCTTGCTGGCTGAGAGAATCAGGATTTTCTTCGACTGTTTGCTGAGCTAGAGGTTTCAACTGAAATTCACCAGTGTGACTCAATTCCACTGTTTCAAACATCTTCTCTTCCCTTTGCTCAGAGTCACTGTTTTCCTGCTGATCGATAATCGGTGGCTCTTTTTCAACGATTACTGAGACACTTTCAACATTAAAATCCTCTTTATCCTCCTCCTGCTTTTGATGTGAGTTTTCCAGTTTGTGTCGTGATCCAAGGTTTCTGCGAGTGGAGCCCATTTTTCTTCGCCTGTTGGGCGAACTGACGTGTGGACTTGAATCCYTCATCTCAAAGTTTGTTTTGTGAGCCTCTTCAGGAGCGTTGTTTGGTTCTTGTATGACAGATTCTTCCATCTCCTGATCTGCCACAAGAACACTTGGTGCCTCTAYTGATTCTAAGGGTTGGTCCTGTATTAGGCCTACTTTAATCCCTTCTGGACTTTGCTTTTCATTTTGTGTAGCCTCTATAACACCAGAGTCTCCTACAGCTGAT